GGAGTCCAATGGAGTCCAATGGAGTCCAATGGAGTCCAATGGAGTCCTGGAGTCCTGGAGTACGCTATTTCCCCCTTGTTTGCCAGACTAATAGCAATAGAAGCAGAGAAGGATTAGCAATGATAGAGGTTTACTTTGTATGACATTGAAATCACCTGTAGCATATTTTGATAAAAATATGATAGATTGAAAACGATCTATGTACGTACTACTAGTCGAAATATTACTAGCTTAACTAGATAAATTAAAACTATTTTTCATAATATGAATGAATTTGAAGAAATAAATTTCTTCACATCTAATGAATTTTGAGAAGAATGCTTCATAATATATCAACATCGTGGTGTCTTAGTAAAAGATAAATGTCCATAACCAAAGAGTTTTGAGTGATAAATAATTTTACTATTCAGAAGACTTATCATCATCACCCAATGCATGGAATTGCAAAGTTGGCAAGTATTGTTTCTCTTTTAAATATTGATCAAGCGTTTTGAAATAACATAAATGAAAATACTTTTATGTCTCTCTTATTGTCATATTTCATTACATGAACAGACATTTTCAATAAAGTTGACTTAATAGTCTTCTATCTAACAATATTCTATTTCTGTACGACTAATGAAATTAAGTATGAGTTTCTTTGCATAGTACAGTGATCAACAATCAAGTTTATGTTCGATGGCTTTTAGTCGATTTGAAAGTGTAGCTGAAGTACTTATCTTCACTTAAAAACAGCAGGTATATAAATAAAATCCTTTGTTAGTAAAGATCAATTATAGTAGTGTCAAGTGTTCATCATATTGCCATAGAAATACATATCTCGACCGAACAAAAACATTTACAGATAAAGATTGAATATGTGAATAATACATGACGGTGCTGAAATATCTGTTATTTAGTTACATTTCATGTAATACTAATTCTAATATTTAAAATAACCTTTATTAGAATATATAGCTTGACTTTAGTTAACAATTTACTACTACTGCACCGAAAAAAATATTAGAACCGCTCCTTCTAAAATGCCATGCACTATCTACCAATAAAAGCAAGCTTTAGGTTACTAAATAATAGACTTTCAGTATATGATTGTGGTCGACACTATTGATGTTTGTCTCTTCGATTGATGATATCTTAATTGTAGAACTTCTTTCTGTTTTTTCGAAAGAATCATCTATGTTACTCAAACAAGGAAAGCAAGTTAATTTATATAAACTGAATATTTTTTCATAAACGATAACTCTTTAAAAGTGCTAATCAACCCTTTACCCCCGATTGGGTCATTTTCGCCCCAAGCATCAAAACTATGTTCAGATACGAATATCTTCGTCAAAACTTGAGAAGAAAGAATTAATTTTTTTATGAGTTTATAGCTTAGTGTATTCTTTACACAACGGCCAATTTTTTTTGGAAGCTTTCATAATCTAATATCTTGTTGGTTCACGATATAGTTTCGATAATGGCAAAAAAAGAGTCGTTCAGGGGTAAAGAGATAAGAGAACCATGATCTCGACAAATAATAGTAGAAATACTGTCAAATTTGGATGGAATCAGCTGGTGGACTATTATGGCTTCTATTTTTCTTGCTTCGCTAAATGAATGATATACGATATTGTAATTACTTTTGTTATTTTCATCTGCACATGCTCTACCCTCTGGTATATTGAATGAAAAAATTCTCAGGTTTTTGTTATCTTAATCTAAATAAACATGAATGAGATTATTTATCACTTCTTTGTTTTTGGTTAATAGAAGATAAACAATGAATCAAAACCAATTTTCCCTTGACAAGGTGTGGGTGTGGGGTGTGGGTGTGGGTGTGTGGGTGTGGGTGTGGGTGGGTGAGGGTGGGGGTGGGTGTGGGTATGAGTGTGGGTGGGTGTGGGTGGGTGTGCGTGTGAGTGTGGATGCGGGTGTCGGTGTGGGTGTAGGTGCAGGAATGGAGAAAACAACAGCATCCAAACCCAAACCCAAATCCACACCCCACACCCACACCTACACCCACACGCCACACCCCCACACCCACACCCACCCACACCCACACCCACACCCCACACCCACACCCACACCCACCCACACCCACACACCCACATCCACCCACACCCACACCCACACACACCCCACCCACACCCTAGATTTTGAGTACAATGGTTAACTTAGGGAAACATCAAAGAAAATGGTTAATCACACACGACTCA